ATTTTTTGGCTCATATCTTGTACGTGGGTTATGCTATTTAATGAAGGATAATCCAGCTAGGAGGGGTGCTTTTGGAACTAGCAACACCTGCATGTTAATAAGGCCAGGTTTCCTCAATTAAACCTGCACTTTTGTTTTTTTCTCTGTACAACTTCTTTTATGGTCAGCACCATAGGTATGTCCAAGAACAAGAAGGTTTCACCTCAATACGTACCAGAGAGTTGTATATTCTTCTTGGTCCTCCTTCCTCACCTCACTCATGTTGACTATGGGAGACTTTTCTTGCAGTTAAAGGATGCATATTTTATGGGTTTCAAGAGATAGCGGATGGACTCAAAGATATAGCAAAGAGAGGGGCAGCAAAAGGCCAAATCCCATGTGCAATTTGACCATAAACTTCTATAATTAAAATTAGGGTGTTGTTTGCATATAAGTTGCAATCTTAAACATCTCAAATAAGGCGCACTTCCAAATTTTATCAGTTGGTATCTAAAATTATTTGGATGGCTTGAGAATGTATGTTCACCTCTTGCAATAAAATTTTAAACTCTACAAATGGTTCAAATTAAGTATATAAAATTCTTGAAAACAAACAGTGCTGATAATATATTGCAAGATGCACTATCAAAATCTTTTTTAAAACATATATCTATGCATCTTAATGTTGAAATAATCAATTAGAGGGTAATCTAATATACAAACAAAAATTTCCTATTATTTTTAGGCACACCTTAATTCTACAGTTTAAGGTTGCGACCTTATATAAACAGTTTTCTTAAATTTTCATAATATCTAGACATATTAGAATAGGGAAAGTATAGAATCAAACCATTTACCATTGGTACAAGGTGGTCAAATTAGTCTTGACTATTGGATGTGAAATTGAATGGCTGCAATCATTCCATTGGCCAAGTTTAAACTTCAAAAGAAATTTTCTCGAAGTTTGTGACACAACCAAGCCATCAAATTTCACATCATATGGTTGTAAGTAATTGTGACCATCTTGTATAAAAAATAAATGGTCTAATTGCATACAATCCCATTAGGATATTAGGGTATCATCGAACATGCCCTTTCTATATGTAATATTGAGTTCAAATTTTGTGTATTCCTACTTTCATCATTACACATCTGTATATGAAAAATAAAAACATAATTGAATAGAAATAAAACAACAAAAATATTCATCCAAAATTTAGGAGTTAGTCATTTTATCTATTTAAATTATTATTTTTGCATTTTTTACTGGTGCATGATGGTGAGAAATATAAACAGTCAAAACTCGAAATTAACGTGATCTATAAAAAATATTACAACCAAAATATTATACATGCTCTAGAAGGGTTTTCAGATCGGAACTAGTCAATCCAAATGGGAATCGGTAGTCCAATCCAAATCCCACTTATTTATCGGGAACCCACTGGGTTGGTTCAAATCGGAACTAGTCGATCCAAAATGAAAATCGGCTAGGCCGATCTCGATCCTGCTCCTACATCGAGAACCAACCAATTCCCCCAGCCGGCTCATATGTGAACTGGTCACCTGTTTTAAAAAGAAATTTGAACTTTTTTACAAGAGGTGGTGGGGCCACCCTCCCTTGTCGTATTAAACTTTTGTAACATAAATTTTTTAGTTATTTACAAACGGAGCTTAAATAAGTTAGAAAAATATAAGTTCTCCCTTTATATCCGAAAATTACAATAAAGGTCAGTCAAACACAACTCTTTTTTTTTTTTGACAAAATTACTCATCGGTCTAAAGATGTCATCCTTGGACCTATTTTTTTTTTTTTTTCTTTTTCAAAACTTAAAGTTGCAATCCTCGGACCACTCTTAAGTTTTGAAAAAAAAAAAAAAAACGATACTACTTGTTCTTGAACCACAACTTAAGTTCGAAAAAAAAGAAAGTGATCCGGGAATGCCATCGTCGAACCGTAACTTTATGTTTTGAAAAATCAAAAGCGGTCTAAGAATTTAAACCTCAGACCGCAACTTAAGTTTTGAGACAAAAAGCGATCCGACAATTTCATTCTCGGACCATAACTTAAATTTTGAAAAAAAAATTCATTCTTAGACCATAACTTAAGTTTCGAAAAAAAATCGATTCCCAAAATGGCATCTTGAGGGGTAATTTTGTTTAAAAAAAAAAAGAAAATGGGTACTTTTGTTGAAAAAAACATATACCTTTGTGTGAAATAACCCACCCCCTAAAACATACAGCAGCTTGGAGCCTTTTTATGAGCCCGTGCCTCCACTTAACCCTTCTATGTCACCGATGTGGGACAATATGGAAGGGTCTCGAAACATTTCTGTTGGGGCAATAGGTGTCGAAACATTCAAAAAAGATTAAAAACTAAAGGCTATTCAAATATCGGAGATGCAGATAGAGAGACAAAATCATGAGAGAAAAATTTATGCTATTGTAACGATTTTAATGAGAAAACCTATCAATGTTTTTTTTTTTTGTTTATTTTGGCTATTTAACCGCAGAATAAATCACTGAAATATTGGGCCATGAAGACGATTCCTCCCTCTCTATAAGTTTTGTGCACCCTATGAGTAGTTCAAATAAACCAATAGTTAAAAATAAAAATAGTAAATAAAGAATTTTTAAAAGTAAAAAGAATGAATAATATGCTTCTTTCAAAACCCAACTACTTAGTTAATACCAAAAAAAAAAAATTCAGTTAAAGAGATTTATTTTATTAGTATGAGTTGCATTTTAAATTACATTATAAAATGTATTTAATAAACAACAACCACTCACACATGAAACATATTCTCAATATTTCCGAATTTTTTACACAATAATGAAGAACCATGATGCAATTATCATTATTTTTTTCAAAAAATACTGATTTTTTTATAAACTATAATGATTTTCTAAAATTTTCTTTAGGCCAAAACCAGCGTATCCCCATCGATCCTCCAATCCGAATAGCTCCGATCTATCTATCCGACATGGTTTTTAAAGTGGCTGATCCAAGTTACCGATCTATTTTTTTTAACCTTGAGCTCTAAAAAACAGTAGGACATGAGCACATACAATATGAAATCCTGTCATTTTCAAATTATGCATTATATAGGGGATATCTTTATAAACTTCCCTATATAAAATTTGTCTTCTTAAAAAATATTGGAAAATACAAACAAGGTAAAATTCTTTAAAATGGATTTGTCGTTTCATTATAAAATTTCAAATTTATTTTCAGTACTTTTTTAAGAAATTTGAAATTAGCAAGATATTTTATTGTAATGACAAATAGTTCAAATGTCTTTTCATATGGGAAAAAGTTTGTATAAGTTTGCAACCTTAAACTGTAGGATTAAGGTGCATCTCAAAAATACATCGAAAAATGTTGTTTTCATGTTGGAAAACCTGTAATTGATTATCTCAATATTGATATGTATGGGATTAAAAAAGCAAAGATTTTGAATCTCAAAAATAATGCACATGAAACATATTATTTGGACCGTCAATTTTCAAAATTTTCATGTACTTATATCTATGATTTAAGCAATTTTTGAAGTTTAAAACTTTATAATTAGAGATGAAAATAGATTCACATGTCATTATAATAATTTTTTACACCAAAATTATATCTTATAATAAAATTTGGAGGTGCGCCTCGCGTTGATTGTTTAAGATTGCAACCTTATCCAACCACACCCTTTCATATAAAGCTTTCGCCATTTTTGAGCAAGATAGAAATATTTTCATCCTGCTACATGACAATAAAAAGTACGAAAAATTATTGCTTTCATGATGAGAATTGAAAAGTGAGGGAGGTTTGGATGTGCTATAGGGGGGAGTACATTGAGTATATACCTCCTCTCGTAAAAGCCCAAAGTTAGTTTTTCTTTTTTTTTTTTTTTTTTTTTTTAAATCTTGGGATTCAGTTTAAAAATGGCAAAATAATTTATCAAGAAAAATAAATTTTTACGATTTAGAAAGGCTTGTACCCCAAGGAGCATATACCTTGGGAACATGCAAACTAATAAAGAACCTTAATTCAAACGCATAACGAGTTGTACACTTTAGAAAAAGATAAAAATGTTAGCTATTATTGTTTATTTACAATGGTGAATAACAATTTCTCGGGTTTTAGTGAAGAGAATTGAAAAATGAGGGAGAAACATCCGACGTCCTCATGTTGGAGTACATTGTGTATTTATCTCCTCTTATAATGACCAAACAATTAATTTTTTATCTTAAAATTTTCACTCTACAAATACCAGACGAGTATTATCAAGAAAAAAGATAGAACTTCTGCTATTTAGAAAGATTTTTACGGGGTGACCATACACCCTAAGGAAGATGAAAACCTAAAACAGAAAAACTTTATTTTTTTCCATCTAATTTTACCAATATCCAAACCCACCTAGTAGCAAGCCTACCTATTGTTGCACGAAGCAACTGCTGCTTTGTATATAATAATAGATAATAGACTGCACCGCCCCGGGCTTGGTGCAATCAGGCCTTGTTGGGACCAGGTCATGACCACTGCTGGGTCACAGTATAGGCTTGAACCAACCTCCACCCGAACCAGCCTGGACCCATATAGCGGTGTCCTGTTACTTTGGGGGAAATATTCAAGATTTTCATTTGAAACTGAGTGATTTCCAAAGACTGGGAAAGATAAAGAGGTGAGTATGGCTAGTGATGGCTATAAACAATAATGCAAGATAACTTTTTCACTGTAAAGGAAAGCACAAATTATATTCTAAGGTCAAAACTTTCAGAACTTGCTTTCCCAGGCACCTGATGCATGAATAAACAGCATAAAAAGTGACCCATATCCAGATTGGAGACCTAAGGTGTGTAACTCAAATAGAAAGACTCTAAAGATCTTAAACAGACAATAAAACTTGATTATATCTATATGTATTATTGGAGAGTTCTACCTTCTTATATAAGTTGCTTTATATCTCCATTGGAATCGGTACAACTTGCATCGAAGTTCATCTTCCATCACAATAGAACATAAACAAATGGCCACATCAAAAGAAACTGGCTGTAATCAACTATTATGTGCATCAGCAATCAGTGTGTTACAATGTATCAAGTTCTAGAAACCCAAACTACACAACACCCCAATCATTCACCCTCACCAAACAAACCACCCTTGCAGAACAAGAGAACTCTTGAAAGGAAAAAAATCTTCTTGGAGATCTCAAGAGTTATGTGCAATTACTATACACAGTAGAAGCACAAATTCACCAGTAGACAAAATGGAATGCACCTGAATCTAGTAGAACTTGTACAGGATCTCTAACTCTCTTCATACACTGTTTGGAGCGAATGGAATGTTAGCCTCGACCAACACACAAAAGAGAACTAAAAACCCCACAAAATATGAGAAATACCTTCCAGCACCTTCAATTCCAATCTCTAAGAAGACTTCATGGTCTATGCAGATTTCCCTCTGGTCTATGCTTTAGACCAAATGGCTGACCATAATATTTCATGTAATCAGAAAATTCCACAGCTTCCCTTTTAGTGTCCTGTGCTCTTCAACTTCTACCTCATCATCATCGTCGTTGTCATCATCACCACCACCACCACCATTGTCAACATCACCATAACCGTTTTCTTTCTCGTCTTCTCCAAGCTCTTCAATTCCACCTGAAGACTGAGAACAACCAAAATGCATAATGTTCAGAGAAGTGATGAGGGCGGAAAGGCATGAGATTTATATATATTCAGTATTTATGAAGATATTCTAGGACATTTTATAAAAATATTTTCGTGTATATATAATTAATAAAGTCAATATGCAATACCAAAAAGTTAAAAAGATGCCGTTTAGGTGCAATGGCTGACACACCTATCCTAGTGCATATGCTTCCAGAATTCATCTTAGAGACACAGGTGGATCCAGGATAGCACAGATCTATAATCTCGACCACTATGGTCATGAATCTGTAAAATAAAAATAGTCATCGTTCAACTTTTTTTTATTTAATGGTTTATTTTACGGGATTATCTACAAAAGACCATTTATCTTTTGTACATGGAGGTCACAATCATTCCTACTCATTAGATGTCACATTGGATGGTTTGGAGTGAATCATGAAGTCTGAGAATTTTTTTTTTTTTTAACTGTGTGTTTTTCAATGACACTCTTACAACCACCCATTTTGAAATTTAAGGAACAAAAGTGATTGTGACTTCCATGTACATAAGATAAATGGTCTCCTTGTGGACAATCTCTTATTTTAATTCTTCACAGTTCATCAGATCTGCACTATTTTTGGAGCTTCAAATTCATGAATCTAAGGAGGGAATGCATTTGCAATGAGTTAGGATGTGTTTCAGATCCTAAATCCATCAAAAGCCAAGGAGGTCTCATGCATCCCCCAAAAACAAAAACTTTCCCATAGTTAAAAGAAAAAGACATCATCAAGGGGTTCCAAATGTTTAGAATGGAAGGGCAACAGCTCCACTGGGCACATCTATTAAATTTCCGTCAGCACATGCAAATCTGTGCCACAAAGAGATGTTTGTTAAAAGCACTTTAATTGCTTCAATTGCAAAAATGAACAACGCAGGCATCACAAATGTCCACTATGATGGTATTAAACTAGATCGCTTCATCACAGTTCCTCAAATAAAATTGGAGAGGAGGTGGTATTTTTGACAAGCTAAAGAAAGAACTTTAATTTAAATAACAAAGGATCTGAATGAAAGACACCCACAAAATGTTCATTTTAGAATCTTACATCATACGCCTCACTGTGATAAATTAAAAGTGAATGCGAGTATAGGAGTTACCCCTGTAACCTCTGGTGATGATGAATTTGCTCCAATTTGCTCATCAAACTTTGCAGCAAGTACACCATTATCATGGGGTTGAGTTGCAACTTCATAAGCCTTTTCACCTTCGATATCACTTGTTTGTGACTCTAGTGCATCTTTCTTTGATGAATTATTCAATCCTTCTAAGACAATGCCACTGGCTTCTCCCTCTTCACCTCGAACTTTAGCTGGTCCATTTGAAGGGCCTCCATCAACCACTTCTCTGACATCTGGTATGTGACTGCAGGGCTTCAAGCCATTCGCACCCTCCGGGTGTACCACTGGAGAATGAACCAAGCTGCCAACATAAGACATGAAATCATGATAATGCACATATAAAGATCATGTATTGGGATAAACCAACTGAATCAAACCAGATCTTAAATCCATAAACATAAAGAGAGAAGAAAAGCCATACAGTTCTGCAGAAGTCCCCATCCTTGGGTGTTCAGCTGTGGGTGCTTGTTGCTGCCTTTTACTCTGCTTCCTACTAAACTGGGCATCAGCATCCTCAATAGATGTATATCCACGACTCCTCTTTCTTCCGTACAAAAATTCACATTCACCACCGTTATTAGCACTTGTTTGTGCTCTCTCTGAATCAAAAACAGAGGACTTGATATTACAACTTCCATTCTTTGCACTCACGTTTGTTTCAGCATCGAACTCTTGCAGATGATCTTTCTCCTCTCTCACCAAAGGCCCTTCAAGTACGGCGTTCTTCTCATCTGGAACTGGCCTTGTAGAGCGCGACAGGCTAAAAGTTTTGACTCTTCTTGCATCAGTTCTGTGAGACTTTTGCCTCAAAGAAAACGATAAGGGGCCTTGACCAGTTTCTTTATGCCGTGAAAAATGGGTTTCATAGTTATTGTTACTAGCGACAACGATTTTCTCAAGAGACGTGTTGAACAACTTCTCAGCGCATCTTTTTAGCCAAGACTTTGGGGTAGGCACATCACTATCAGATTCTTTCTGTTCAAGCAACTCACTTTTGGCACCAATATTTGCATTTTCGTTGCACTCATCTGCATGCACCTCAACTGCTGCCTTGGTAGCACATGGCCCAACGAGATAATTAGCAGGAGTTTTCACTTCATTAAGATTCAATCCAGTCGATTGCATCTCTGGAAGCATCAAAGTTTCACTAGGCACCTTCAAATCCTCTAGTTTCTTAAGATCTTCAATTCTCTTCAAAATATCTTCTCTATCTTGATGCAGCAGCTCTCTCTGTTCTTTTAGTTTCTCCCTTTGTACTTGAAGTTCTTCAATGTCTTTTTTTAACTCAGACCATTCTTTGTCTCTTTGTTCACGGTCAAGAGCAATATTCTTCCTCTCATTTTCAAGTTTCTTCATTTCCAGTGAAATTCCTTCCAGTTCTTTGCGAACAAGTTCCTTTTGAGCGTCGATATATTGGAATTCTCTCAACCTTTCAAGCTGAAATGTGTCATCCCTTTCTCTCAAGTATCTTTGAATTTCTTCATTCCTCTTGTCAACACCCTTTTGAAACTCCCTCTTCTGCATCTCAATGTCATGAACAAAATCAGCTCGCTCCCGTTGAATTCTGGTGAACCACTCTGAATGTCCATGCTCCATCTCACTTAAGAAGGCTTCCCTTTCACGGCAAAGGGAATCTGCATCACGTTTGGCCTGTTCCCTAAGTGAATCCTTCTCTAAATTTAATATTTCATGTTCAGTTTTAAGGAATTTGCTTAATTCCATTCTTTCTTCAGCAACCCATTCAGCTTCTTTTTGTAATTGTTCTCTTTTTTCATCTATTTGTTCCCATTCCTTCTCAAACTTTTCCTTCTCTGTTGCCAAATTATCTGCTTCAGCCAAGATTTTCACCTTCTCAGCTCTCAAATTATCAACTTCTTCTTTTAGTTTGGTTTCTAGAGCAAGCAAATCCTTTCTATCATTATTCATGACCTCCAATTTCCGCTGCTCTTCAAGAATTTGCTTTCTTTCATTCTCCAAAGAATTCCTATACACATCAAGCTCTTTCTTAATAACGTCCAGCTCTTGATTTTCCTTTTCAAGGCAATTCCTTTCCATTTCTATTTTCTTTTCCCGAGCATCTAAACTTTGCTCCTTCTCAACAAGTGATTTTAATCCTGTCTCTAGTTCCTTCCGTTTCTCTTCCAGTTCTGATAACTGAAGATCCAATTCATGTTTATCTTTATGCATCAGATCCTCTTGGTGTTTAAGTTCAGCATCCCGCAAGTCCAGTGCGTGTCTTTGAAGTCCCAAGTCAGCTTCAAAGGATTTGTGTTTCTCATGGAGTTCCTCCTCAAATTGTGATTCTCTCAACTCAATTGCAGTTTGATGTTCTATTGTAAGTCTTCGAATCTCATCCTGCAAATTTTCATATAGTAATAACAAAAAGGGAAGTGAGCAAATGTTGTTTCAATTCAAGGTTCAAAACTACAAGGGAAGTGATAGACAGAGGTAATGGGATAAACATACACAAGCAAGCTAAATTGAGAATGGTTCAAATTAAATGCGTAGTAGAAAAAAAAGAATTTCACAGTGATCAAACTCACCTGCTCCCTGCTTGTCAGCTTCTCTTGCAGAAGAAGCAACTCCTGCTCTTTCTTGTCAATTGAAACTTCCCTTTGTACAATTGCCTGTAACATCCATGGAGAAAATCAAGTGAATACTTCACATAGAAATAAAATCCAAGCAACAAAACGTGAAGAACCAAGTGCCAGTTACAGATAAAACCAAAGATTCTTCTATTCTTAGCAAGAAAAGGGAGGGGCTCCTATGCATTAAAACAAGGGTGCAGTTTGTATAGAGCAGAGGGTCTAAACAATCAAAGTAAAGCACACCTTCAAATAGTGTCGAGAAATGTGGTTTCAATACTAGAAATATTTGTGATAGCCTTAAAATATATTTTCAACTTTAATTATAAATTTTAAAGCTTCAAAAATAGTGTAGATTGAGCAGATCTAAGAAAATTTGAAAATCTTGAAATTTGACGGTCCAAAAATGCGTTACAAGATGCACTATTTCCAAAACTTGAAATCTATTATTTTCTCATGTCCATGCATTTTGATATCGAAATGATCAATTTGAGGATATTTGAGCATCAAAACAACCTCTTCTAGTGAAATTTCTAAGGTGGGCTCTAATTTGATTGTTTAGAGCCTCAGCTCTGTATAAACTTTTTTCCTTAAAACAAAGTCATCAAAAGATTAAATACCTCCTCCCTCGTTGTCAAAGCAACCGAGGTCAAGCAGAGATTGGCCTTCTCCTCTTTCAGGATTTCAAGGTCTTCTTGCAGTTTAACAGTTGCAGCCTGCACTTCCTTTTCAAGCCGACTCAATCTGTCAGACCTTTCCTTAATGCACTGTTCCCGTTGATTAAGCAAGGTTTGCCCTTCAAACAACTTTTCCTGACCTTGCTGTATAACTTTCTCCAACTCACGAAGACTTTCCTTCTCATTGAGTAGATCCTTCTCTTTAGCCTCCATCCTTTAGCAGTATCATAATGACAACATGAGTAAATGTGTGGTCAGAACTTAATTCATAGCAGTGGACTAACATTTATAGATTTAAGTTAAAATTCCGAGGAGACTGTCATCTATGAATGAAATAAAGCATGTGCTTCATATTTAACAAGCTTGCCAACAAGATCAATTTCAAAATTACTGGAACTACATGAAAAAAACATTCGTTATTACAATCACGGTCCCAACAAATTATGTTATTTGTGGCCAATGTGTGAGGAAAACATAAACCACCCAATGTAGGAGTATTATTCAAAATCATCAAAAGGAGTATTATTCAAAATAATTCCATTCTTAATTTCCATTTTCCCCACTATTTTTATTCCCCTTCTTTTATATTTTTCTCAAATTTTCATTATTTTCCCACAAAACTTGTTCTTATGACAAACAACCACCATCAGGTAATGGTAATGGAACCTGGCCATTATGGACATAACTTTAACTCTAAAGTCAAGAAAAAAGAACCCGAGATGTAGATCTTATGCCAAGAAACTGGGATCAAGAAACAAATAACACAGGAATGTAAGCGTCACCATTGCGCAAAACCAAAAAACCTATGCAAAAAGAAAAGGAATGCTTAGGATTCCCATTATAAAGAAAACAATACCAACCATAACACAAGTAACACTGCAGCAGATTGTTCACAAGTTCCAGAATGCATAATATTGAACTTAAATCCGCAAGGTTATCTCAAAAGGATAGCAAACATTTTTAACAATTAAAACTAAGGGGCTCATACTTGGGGTTATTTTGACCAATGTTCAATAGATAGTATGGCTCATGTAAGGAAAAAAGTAGAAAATGACACATACTCAGACTTTAGAGACACTTGTTGTCTTCTAAGTTCATCTTCACGGGCTTCAACTTCCTTTAGCTTTCGTTCAGCAACAGCATGTTGCCAACTAGTCTCAGTTTGCAAAGCCTCCACTGTATGCTGCTTTGTTTCAACAGCAAGAAGCTTCTTCTGAGCATCCTCCACAAGGCAACGAACTTCAGCTAGTTTAGTCTCAGCTGCAACCTTGGTTTCAGCACATTCAGCACGCATTTCATGTAAAGCCTTCTCAATCTGATTATGAAGATTTACAACAATATCAGCATTAACCATCAGACTAGTTGATGCCTAACAATATTAATACCTTAAAGGTTTCCCAAGCAGCATAAAAATATGAGAGTTAATGAGTCCCTGCAGCAAGGACAGTTTTAAATGACAATAGGATGCTGATTTCGATTTTAAATAAAACATAAAACAGAAATACATATGAATCATTGGATAAACTACCAAAACTTCCAGGAAAAAGTAGGCACACAACAATTCATTAACATACTCCCAGTTGCAAGAGATGCATGTTTTTTTTTTCTTTTTTTTTTTTTGTACAGGTGTGTGTGTGTGTGTGTGTGTGTGTGTGTGTGTGTGTGTGAGAGAGAGAGAGAGAGAGAGAGAGAGAT